CTAAAAACCGGGATTCGACACACGTGGTGGGCTCATCGGAGATACCCCACTGTGTAGCTTTGTACTTAACAACAACAAATAAAGCAAACTATTGGCTCTGTATTGAAATTATGTATTCAGGGTACACACGACGGATACTGAAAGCAGCACGAGGAACAGGTTAACTCATCTATCGAGAACTCTTCTGAACTTCTCAAACGTTTAATATTATTTTATTTACATCATTATTCTTCCTCTGATGTTCGTGGGATTTTTAAACATACATTTCACGTGTTAACTCTGTCTAACTCACTCGATATCTGGAACACAGTTTAGTTAGTTGCACAGTTTTTATTGTTCTTAAAAATTCTTATCGTAGTTACAAGAACCGAAAAACAAATACAAATAATGAATCCATTCACCCACACACAAGCACACATATATATATATATGATACAATAAATGTATAGAGGACGTTTATTGAAGTTAAAACTAAATTGTACCGTAAATTACCCGGATGGATTCTAACCTGCTGGTCGCGTGCACCACAACTCAATGCCTTTTTAGCACTATTAATATTTATTTTCATTTAAATTCAACAACACGGGGATGAAACTCCCACTCCTCCCTCCCTACCACTTCTTGTGCAATTTGTCCAGTTTTGTCCTTCGTAATTAATTTGAATGTCAAATTGGTCATTATGTTTTGGCGTATTTTGAAAGAGTTTTCTGTTTAACTAGTTAAAAGTAATTAACACACCAAGTCTCAAGACCATATTCGCAATCCTAATCCGTCAGAACTACCAAACATTTTGGTAACTTTTAAATACCTGTTTTATTAGTATTAGGTCTGACACAATTTTAAGTACCTAATTCATGTATATAGAGAGTAAAATTGATCCAGAATACTAAAATATTGGTAAATGTTTCGAACATTAGTTAATTAAAGACGGACATACAAATGCTATCTTTGTTTGTTTCTTCAAGTAACTATAGAGGGCGCTTCTATCGAAAATTTGTGTATAACAAACGCGATCATTGACGGTGCTTTCAGTTATACCTTTGAAACAAAAACTGGACTTCAAAGAAGATAAATATCAATGTGACAGTTTGATTCTGTTCGAAACCTAATTCTGAAACCTATTGTGTAGAATGTTGGCGCCATGTTCTCATTAGCATTTTTCTTATTTAATTTTATTTTGATGTAACTGAGATACACTAAGTATTAAAATATACATATGGGACAATGGAAGGTCAAAACGAAAAGTGTGTCTGGTATTTAGAATTTTCAGTCAGAACAACACAGTAAGCGACACGTGGGCTAAACGGTCAGGACAAAGACCCCCTTAAAGGATTAAGTATAACCAATCCTAATTTCGAAATGCTGACCAAAATGAGGGCAACGACACCAGTTGCCTATCCTTAACCATAGGGCAGGATCGACTCTCATAGTTACAACGTCCCCACAACTAAAAGTACCTGAGTGTGTTCAGTGACATAATGTGACTCGAACCTTGGACCTTTCAGTACTGCACACTAACCACTAGGCCAAACTTGATGGTTGGTTTTTATTTTTTAATTATTATTAACTACAAAGCTGCACAATTAGCTATCTATGCTGTGCCCACTCTAGGGATCTAACCCGAATTTTGAAGTTTTAAGCCCTCAGGCTTACCGTTGATTCATTGGGAGATACGGCTGGTAATGAGTACACAATTTTTGTTATACTGAAATTTATAATTTTTTTTTAAGGTAGTATATTTCTCAATAACATTTGTACTTAATCGTTGAAAAATATTACATACAGTAAGAGTAATAATATTTTGACTAATTTTTCGGAAAACGTAACTTAATGATAAAGCAAAACGCGAACAATTTGTAATTACAAATATTGTTTGTTTGTTTTGTATCTCTAGATTACCGATGATAGAATTTTGATGATTCCAAAAAGTTTAATAAATTCTTCCTATCATCACTTTCGTGTTTTGTTTTATCATTAACAATTTTTTCTTAGAGAACCATACTTATCAGTTACTTTCTAAAGAATATCATATACTTTTATAATAAATAAATATTATGTATTAGGTGTTGTTCCCAGATTAAATATTGTGTATTAGGTGTTGTTCCCAGATTAAATATTGTGTATTAGGTGTTGTTGCCAGATTAAATATTGTGTATTAGGTGTTGTTCCCAAATTAAATATTGTGTATTAGGTGTTGTTCCCAAATTAAATATTGTGTATTAGGTGTTGTTCCCAGATTAAATATTGTGTATTAGGTGTTGTTCCCAGATTAAATATAGTGTTTTAGGTGTTGTTCCCAAATTAAATATTGTGTATTAGGTGTTGTTCCCAAATTAAATATAGTTTATTAGGTGTTGTTGCCAAATTAAATATTGTGTATTAAGTGTTGTTGCCAAATTAAATATTGTGTATTAGGTGTTGTTCCCAAATTAAATATTGTGTATTAGGTGTTGTTCTCAAATTAAATATTGTGTATTAGGTGTTGTTCCCAGATTAAATATTGTGTATTAGGTGTTGTTCTCAAATTAAATATTGTGT